GATGTGTATACAGCCTGCCCACAAGGGAATATGAATGAAACACTCTTTATATCAACTGTGATATGTGTTCAGCCCCATGCAGTGTAAACCCCTGTGCTAGGTAGGCCAATGGTACAACTCAGTATAAGGCAACTTCGGATGCTCATACAATAACCGAGATTTTTCTTAGTTCTGCTGATTTGTAAATGAAAATAATTGATTGCTGTGGATTCTGACTGGATTTAGTTGGAGGGGTAGGATGGGAGTTTAGGACAGTGTAAGTGAAAACACAGAATATGGCCTCTAATGTTCTTCAAGTGAATGTGAGGTGCGGCCTTTGAAATCCCACTCCCTTTGCCAAAGCATTTGTCAGCCTGGAGCTGTTGTGTTGTTTCTGTTTGTCATGAGGAAAATCTGCCAACATTCTTAGCGAATGTTTCCCCATCCGGGAGTGACCTCTTCACACTCAAGCATAATCACTGGTTGGCTTGCAACTTTGCCAATTAACACTGATTGTTTAGAATGTGCGGATCAGCTTTCTGAAATCAAATTTTTAATAACTCAGAGCTTATACAATAGAAGGGAAATAGTACTAAAGCTTTATGTGGGTAAGGAAGGAAGTACCCTGCAAATAAGCCTGAAGATAATTAGGTGATTTGATTCATAATTTGGAAATCACTTAAGGAAATATCACTTGTCTGATCAGCAACATTACTAAACTATTAAATCAATGTGCTTTTGTTTATATTTGACATTTTCCAATGATAAAAAGAGACTTGTGATAGCTAGCAAAGAGAAAGGCATTAGAATCTCCCATTATCTTGAACTACTAACTATATGAATTAATATGGTGGTCTTGTGTCAATGAAATCTTATTAACCTTCCTATAAAGTACCATTTGACTAAATTAAATTGTATGGTTTAAATATTCACAGGCAATATTGTTGTCCATGATGAAGCATCCACATCCCTGCCTGTCTTGCTTCCCCTTGACTTTTTGCTGTTCTTATCTTATCTCATGCATTGTCTAAAATCATCAGATGCCTCACATCTGAAGGCAGGAGTTAACAGAGCAGCACAACACTACTCCCTGCTTCTTAATTTCAAAATAAGAATAAGCATGGCTAGAGGGGCAGACTAGAATTACGGGGACCCAGATTCCAATTTCCACTTAGACCGCAATAAAAACCCCATTTACTTGGGACCCAGCAATTTCAATAAAACTTACTTCTGTGCAGACATGGTCAGAATTGTGCTGTTAGCCTGAAGCTCACTGGATGACTTATATCTGTTCATGGTGTTTTCATGAAAATAAAATGATGTATGTTGGCAGTGAAGCGGGAGAGAAACAATGTATGTCACCCCAAGTCTCTTGAAGGAAAGCTGGAATGTATGAGGGTAATAACATAAGGGGGGGGGCAGTTTTAATCAATTCCTAATTCAGTTTACCAATTTTCTCCCCCACCCCCTTCTATCATACATTATCAGTTGGGTGAATGGTTCCCATGTTTTGACATGCTGGGAACTTGGGTTTCCTTATAGATTCAGCAATGGAATGGACTTCCTCAGAAGGTGGTGGACTCTCCTTCATTGGTGGTTTGTAGCAGAGGCTGGATAGCCATCAGTCATGGATGCTTTAGCTGAGATTCCTCCACTGCAGGGGGTCGGACTAGGTGACCCTCAGGCTCCCTTCCAACTCTTCAATTCTATGATTCTATGATAAATAAATGGTCTTGCAAGTGAAAGGGAGGCTGGTACTGCTGATACTGTGATGGTGAATCTGTTAGGACATCTCATTTTTCACTCCTCCTAGTTCTGTTTCCCCCCCCTGTCTGCAAGGAACAGCATGAACAGAATGCTAAATATGTCCTTATATTACTCATGGAATGGAAAGGTCACTGGAATGAGGAAAAAAAAGACCCATGCCCCTAGTACAGGGTGAATGAATGAAGCTTTAGGGTTCTAAGATAACCTAGAGATTTCAAGAGGGGAGAGGTTACCAAAACCAACATAAATTACATTTTATTTATAAATAACCCCCTGCCAAGACAGTTGCTCTGATCCACAGAAACAATCGCTAGGGAAAAATCTCTACAGATTAAAATCATAAATTAAAATATAAAATACACATGAACATGAGAAATAAAACTACTTCTGAATTATCAATAAAGGAATGGATTGAGTTGCAAACCCAGTAGGGTAAGCCTTCTGGCACAAAGACTCTAACCGTTTTCACATGTGCCCATTTTGAGCCGCTTTCAGACAGCCATAGCAACAGTTGGAAAGAGACAGTTTTAAATGGCTTGTATCAGGTTTTTAAATCAGCTGAAGGTCATGTAGGAAGGTGGGCTTACAATCGCATTGTGACCTTGCTGTGATATTTATGCTAGAAACACAGGAACCAGCTGCCTTTTACTGAGTCAGACTCATGGTCTATCTAGCTCAGTATTGTGTACACTGACTGCAAGGTTTCAGACAAGGGTCTTTCTCAGCCTCAGTGCCAGAGATCAAACTTGAGACCTTCTGGATACAAAGCAGATGGTCTACCACTGAACTACCATGTAATTTCTGATACAGCAGCTCTTGATTACTACTTGGTATTCCAAGCTTCAATCTGATGGTTCCAATTGAGCCCACTGTGAACCTACAATGTTAGAAACATATTTACAAAATATTTGTAATTTTAACAGTGTGAGTTGATACATTGTAGACTCATAGGGTTAGTTGTCCTACTCTGGGGAAGAGTACAGTGGTACCTCAGGTTAAATACGCTTCAAAAGATTAAAACATCTTAGATGCATGCCTAAAATATATAATGTATGTAGTAGTACCAAGACTTTGAGGAGGACAGATTACTTAATGGTTCTATCAGAATTCTCTTCACACATCCAGAACAGAAATAAGAAAAGATGAAAGCACAGGGCACTTTTGTTGTTGTTTAAAAGTTTAATTAATAAAAATGATGAGCCAGAATGTTTTATGTCTTGTATGCTTATCTCATTTGACTGCATCAGTGAACCCAAATACCTCTGCATGAAGAGCAGCAAACTCATTTGAGTCATTTAGGGAGGTGAATGAAACATGATACACTCCATGATGATCTATTAGATGTGGCTGTCATACCAAGGCAGATTTGATTTAAACAAATTCATCTGACATTCTATCCCATAAACAATGGTAGATGTGGCAGGTGATCTCGATAGGGCTGAAAATGGTTGTTCTAACCTTGGCAAATTCTTGCAGGGCTTTGACAGCAGCCTTTAACAAGAGGCATTAAAGCATTTATTCATGGGATCTTCCCATACCACTGGTTTGGCTTACTAGGACAATTGAGAATGTGGGTGTCATGTAATCACACTTACCGTGTGTGTGTGTGTGTGTGTGTGTGTGTGTGTAGCCGTAGCCGTTTCAGGAAAAACAGTAGGAACTCAAAGGATTGTCTCTTCTGAGCTGACTCAGCTAAGGAACAAGCTATATGTAGTTGTATGTAACTTTATACAGTGTGTTTAATGAAAAGAAATCCCATAGGTGAGAATATGCTCAGAGACACCCTGTTCCTTAATTCTAAGGGCCAGCTAGATGTGATGCTAAATGTGTAATTAGATAGCAATTATTTCCTAGTTAGAAAAAGGAAAACATGCTGAATTCTCTCTCAATTTAAAATAAAAAATAATAAAAGATTCCGCCTCGTGCTGGTATATGCACAAATGAAAATGTCTCCTTAGCAACGAAGTATGTTCTGGAAGTAACCCAATATCAACAAATCTGTCTCAACATCTGCTTTATAGAGTTGATCCTATAAGTATGCACTTCTGGCTCCATAGTGCTAAAGGTCAATGTTATTAATGCTAACTGCAGCCTTGGGTTAACATATTCACACAGTAAGGATATCCATGTCATGGATTTTTTGATAACCATAATCCCGAAACAGCCTTCCACTTAGGTTTTTCATATCACAGTTTCCTCCATTTACAGATTATTATCTCTGAGGAGAAAATGCTACACTGCCTGCCATTCATTTCTTTAAAAAAAGAAAAATTGGCTGCTGATACAAGTTGCCAGTGGGCTTGATTATTTGCAATATTCCCTCTGTGCATTTTGTGAAATGCTGGTAAAGAGCAAGGCTATTTGGATGAACTGGAGGCTGGATTCTGTTTGGAGTACATGAATCAACTTTCAGGTTATGTTTTAAAATCAAAAAAACTCAAAGAACAATGATTAGCAAATATGTTTCATTAATTAGCACACTCTTGAGCAAGAGTTGTACACACACCATTTTAAGCAAGCTGTTTCAAAATTGAGAGAAACAGCTTTCATAACAGTGCTCCCAGTTTAATCCTGTCAATAGGAACTTCTAATGCAGTGGTTTTTCAGGAAATTGCCCAGATTCTCAGTCAGATTAGATTAGCAGTTTTTGAAAGAACAGTTAGAATAATCTCTTTTCAATATCTGATGAAGCAGACTCTGGTCCATGAAAGCTTATGGCATAATACATCTGTCTAGGTGCTACAAGACCATTGGTTCTCTCTTCACTAGAGAATAAGATCTTGTCTACTTTTTGCAACCTCCAGTTTAAGTAAACAATGATCATAACAGACAGTAGACATTGTGTGCAGAATTCTCCAGAATCCCAGAAACCCACCAGAATATATGAGAAACTACTAGCTTTAGGTCAGGAGGTCACAGATTTTTAATATCACTATAGTGGAAATAGGTGTCAAAGGGTATATTTCTCTATATTTATAATCCTACATACATTACCCAATTCAGGGGAAGAAAATCCATTTTCATGCCAGCTTTTACTGTTATGTACCTGCTGATTTAACCTCTGTGGTTTAGATTACTACTTGAAAATGCACTGAAAATGGGATTAGCAAAAATGGGATTAGATTGGTTTTTTGTAATGTTTTTTATTATTATTTCCTTTTATAATGTATATAAAACAGAGAAAACAATTATAATAGAAAAATATTTAAAGATGAAAAACCAAACTGTAAAATAGATACATAGAATGAGTAGTTGCACATGAGTTAAAATAACAAAGTCCAGGTAAAGACTAACAACTTTATCAGATCATCAAGTATTGTTCCAGATTTGCCAGGCTTGTGACAAGGGTTGTCTTGAAAATGAAGATTCCACTGTATATAAAAGGTGTCTGGAGATTCTAGCCCATGTCAGAATCTTAAATTATGTGTAATCTTCTCAATTATAGCTATATTCCAGAGTGAGTGGTACCAAACATCCAGTGTAATATTTGGGGCTGTTTTCCAGTGAGCTGCAATTAGTATTCATGCTGCCAACATAATATATAAGACCAAGCCTTTTGACATTGGTATAATCAAAAACCTAACATTAATTTTGGACAGTATTTTCTTTGGTAATATTTATTTCTGTCAAAATTAAATTCCAATAATCTTGCACCAGCTGACATTCCCACCATAAATTATAATATGTACCAAGTTTACACTTCCGGGTTAGCGCCTCGGACAATGGCGGAATTCCTCTGATCAGGAGGAATCCGCTCTGTGGAAATCAGGGTCTGGCCGCCACGGCAAAGGCGGAGACCCACTAAAAACCACAGGCGGGAGAAGCCTGTGGACGTGGGATTCGGCTGGCACCTTTTGCGCCTCCCCTACTCACGGGGAAACCCGGTTTTGGGGATCCGGAGCGACGTGGGGTGAGCGGCGTGGTGCTTCGAATCGACTGCTTCTTTCACGGAGTGAAGCCGCATTGCCGTTGCCGGAGAGCGCTGACTTTTTCCTGTGGACAATTGGACTTTAAACAACTACCCGTGAGTAGAACGGAAAATTGGATCTTTAAACATCTTAATTCGGCACCGAAACGGGAAGGTTTCAAACAGGAAGTCCGCCTTCCTCTTTTGTAAATAGATTGAGCAAAGACGCTGCAAGCTAAAGTCTTGGAGAGCCTTTTGTAAAGGATTAAATTTCCATCGGTTAAAATTATCAAACCCCCCTTGGAAGCAGGTGAAGAGGGGGGAAATTTTAGATCGCCTAAGCCTGCAGTTCCGGGGTGTCGCCTCCGGAAAATGGCGGAATTCCCTTCGGACTGAAGGGAACCCGCTGCACGGAGGCTTGGGTCCTGCCGCTACGGCGCAGCGGGGACCCGCAAAAACCACAGGCGGAAGAAGCCTGTGGACGTGGGACTCGGCGGGCACCGAGAGCGCTCTCTCCCCTTGGACAGGCGCCCGTTACCGGGCTCCGGAGTGGGAGGTGCGTGGTGCTGTGAGTCGACTGCTTCCTCCATGCAGCAAAGCCGCACTGCCGTTATCGGAGAGCGCTGCCTTTTTCCTGGACAATTTGGCATCTAAAATATCTATCCGTGAGTACCTGATCTTGGAAGAGCTGAACCACTTTTAAGACTGGTGAATAAACAAATAATATTGGACTTGAAATTGAACTTAATTGGGACTCGGAATGGGAAGGTCTAAACAGGAAGTCGCCTTCCGTTCTTTTGTTATGTGAAGAAAGCAAAGACAAAATATACTAAAGCTTGAAAATTAAATTCTAAGAGAACTAGAATTCAACATCTAAGATTTCTGAACCCCCCCCCCCCTTTGACTGCAGGAGAAGAAGGGGGTTGTATTTGGACTTTTCAATCCTGCGGAAGTGAGTTTAAAATAAAGCAATTTTCCACCGCCCTGAACCAGGAGCGGGCTGTCAGAATTGACGTTCTGAAGTTTATCCAGCTCGACAGTTAGTTAAAAGAAGGGTAACATTTTGATTCTACTGTTGCCTCTTGAATTTGGAAGGGGAATTTTGGATAAAGTGTTTCTGGAAAAGAAAGATTGTTGCTGTTGCTTTTATTCCTTTAAAAAAAAAAAATTTCCATCTAGTGGAATTTAGTGAAATTGCAACGCAGAGAGATTAAAAGAGAAGGACTATTGGACTATTGTCGTGGGAAAGAATTTTCTTTGACCTTGAAGGACAATGCTAGTACAAAGGCTTGAACAATTGTTCCTGGAAGGTTTTTCAAAACTAAGTGCCCAGCTGGACCAGATGCGTCAGGAGACGACCTTGATGATGGAAGTCACCAGAGCACAGCAGCAAACAAATGAAATTCAGTTAAAGGCTATACAAGTATATGAACCTGCTGTAGTGACGGAGGCTTCAGAGATGGAGGGACCTTTGGACGGGCAAGATCAGCCTTTGAACTTGACAAATGAACTTGGGACAAACCAGATTCGGAAAGATGAAATGTGGTCAGATTTGGAAATGGGGGATGGATCGACCCCCTCCATATGGTTATTTGGACCTTCCGAGTCTGGTGATGGGCTATCAGAGGATTGGAGTAGCCGAAGTCTCCAAGCTTTGTGGAAATCTGAAGTGGTATTACTTGCTGTCTGGCTTGGGCAATGGGTTTGGGATGGACTTGCCGCAAAGGGTCAAAAGCATTTTCTTGCTGGAGCATCCACGACTGGAAAGGAATCATCAACAAGAGTGGCGAAAGGGGCAAGAAAGAGACTTGAGGGCCTCGGATACGAGACAACCAGGTTAAGAGGTTAAAAGGACTGACAATCCCGGGTCCAGGGGAGGGGAGGTTGGAAGCTGACTGGACTGAATTTGACTTATTATCTTTTAATATTGGGAATGCTTACAAATGTTTGAAGGATGTTGAATGAAATTACATGGCTTAAGTAAGGATTGGTAAATGATTCGTAAAAAAGGTAATGATGCAAGAATTTGGTAAATATTGAATATAAGCTATGAGTCTTAAAGTTTTTATATGACAAGAGGGAAAATAGAATAAGGAAACGTAATGACAGATTGTTATGAAAAAACAGAAAGGATTTGCTGTAAAAATTAAAAATTAAGAAACAAAAGAGGGGAGGAGGAGGAAGTCTAGAAAGGAAGTCAATAGAGATTGTAAAGGACTTCATATTTTTGTTTTTCTGTTTCTCTTTTTTTTCTTTGCGGCTGGGTTTTCTTTTCTTTTTTGTTTATGTACTATTTTTGTTTTTTGTATCCTCAAATTTTTATTTTTATTTTTTTGGAAATTTTTGTTGTTATTCTTTGAAAACTTAATAAATATCAATTATAAAAAAAAAAAGAGAGAGAGTGAAGAAAGATAAATTACCACCGTTTTGAACCTGGGAACGGGCTGCCAGTAAGATTGACGTTTTGGGAAAGTTCATTGACTGTGAATAAAACGTATGTTGACAGATAGTTAAATAAGAGAAATATATTGTTTCCATTGTTTCCTTTTGCACTCAAAAAGGAGCAAAAGTAACTGAAAGATTGAAACTAACTTTGTTGCTGGATCTGCGTTTAAAAGGACGGATACAAATAGAAATTGTTTCCTCTAGAGGGAGCTTTTGAAACTGTTGCAGGAGTGGAGCTGGGGAATTTTCCAGCTGCAGAGATAAAAGACCGTGAGAATCAGAGATTGACCTTGGACAAGAATGTCGACAGAAGAAGCCTTAGTGATTGCATTTTGCAAGATAAGTGCTTTATTGGAACAGCTTCATGAGAAGATGGATGTGATGACTATTAAAATTGATAATTTGGGACAAAAAATGACTGATTTGGGACAAGAAGTGAATATCTATACAGAAACTACTCAGGAATCGATTCAGGAATCTACTTCGACATGGCAAGTTGTGGAGAAGACAAGGGAGAAAGTTGTTGTTGAACCTCAAGTAATAGAAGTGGAGAGAGCCCCAGTCTTACAGAGACAATTTGATGAATATAAGCTGTTGCCTTCTACAATTGAATTTAGAGAAAGCCAGTTGAAACACGTCCTGAAATATCTTTTGGACTCTAGTTTTGACAATGGAGAATGGGCTGACCTGTCGAGAAGGAATAAAGACATTGTTAGGTTGGAGCTTCCCCGAGATCTACTCCTCAGTGTCAAAGGAAGGAAATTAAGAACAAGATCAGCAGAAGATAAAGTAAAGTGCATGTATAAATATGAAGAAGATCTGCAGAAGGGACATGGAAAAGAGTTAAGAGCCTCGGACAGAAGATCACCAGGTTGATGGACCATATGGAATTGAGAGAAAGGACTGGCAGAATCCGAGACCAGGGAGAAGAGACGGTGGAAGAAGACTGGAAAAAAGTTTAAAATTTATTTATAGAAACATTGTAAAATTAATGAGTGTTAGAAAAATGTTGGAATGAAATTACATGGCTTTAGTAGAAATGTTATAAGGAGTTAAGTACAAATAAGTTTCAGGGTATTAATGGTAAGATAAGGGTAAAATAAATTATGACAATTATATGACAGAAAACAGTGAAAGATGGAAAGGATTTGCTGAAATAATTAATAATTAGAATACAAAAAAGGGATGTGCGAGGAGGTCGATGAAACAAGTTAATGAAAGACAAAGATATGGAAATATTGGATGTGTTTTTAATTTTGCTTTTGCTTTTGTTTTGATGTATTGTGTCTTTTGTTTTTTCTTTTTTTATGTATTGCAATGTATTGATTTGTATTGTTTATTTTTTCTTTCTTTTTTTCCTTTTTCTGTAATCTTTAAACTTTTAATAAATATTATTTTAAAAAATATATATAATATGTACCAAGTTTATTACAACCCCTCCAACAATTAGGTGATATAGAAGAAAACATTTTTGACATTTGCAAAGGAGTGTTATACCATCTGTGTGATAATTTTTACAGGGTCAGGCCACTGGAAACAGATTTTAATGGTTGTGCTTCCTATCCCTGAGAAGAATTTATGTGCCAGTGGATGAGATGATTATTATGTCCCTAAAAAGATGGTGTGGGGGGAAAATATGGTACTACATAAGGGAGAGAATTATAGGGTTTGGCTGTTAAGGCTTGGAAAGTTCTTACAGTAAAGCAGAATCAAGAGTGACCCAAAACATTTTGATGCTTACGGTATCCCATTTCAGATACTGAAGTTGATTGGACTGGTGCTTGAATCATAATTTGACACTGGGATGTGACAGTTTCTTCCTGAGAGCAATAGGCTAGTTTAGGAGGCGCAGGGCAGACTGCCCTCCAACACCTCAAACCGCCCCCCAACATTTGCAGCCTGAAGCAGTTGCCTCACTCTGCCTAAATATAGGGCCAACCCTGAGCTGAATCCTTATAATCTTTGCCAGATTGAACAGGCAAAATGGACTGAGTGACATCTGATGCTGTAGAACATGTAAATTTCCTGGAAATTATTATAATGTATATTGATTTGGCATTTTCATCCACTGCACCCACACACATTTAGTCCATCCTCTTAGATTCATTATGTATTCACATATATCAAAATCAGTTGTGTAGTTGATATGATAGTGGAACAGAGCAATTGCACAATGAACAAGGAAGGAAAGCTAACACAAACTGAATAATGGAGGTACAGGGGCTCAGTCTTGGCTCTTACAGTTTTGGGAGTGTCTTTCTCAAGAAAGGAATATTGAATTTGGAATATTGAATATGAAAGGCTGAACTTCATGTATTAATTTTAAATAACCATTATTTCTTGCAGGCCTCTAGTAGGAATACATTGCATGTATACAACTTCAGTTCATTTTAGCAGGATTCCCTAGAAGTAGATTGCATGCACGTTAAGTTAGAAAAGTAGCTCTCAGGAAGTATTAAGCTCCAGGTGATGGGTGGTAAAATTATTCATCTTGCAAGAAATTTAATAATAATTGTAAACCAGCCCTCAGAAATGTCCAAATGTTTGTACTTAGGTCTCAGCATTTGTACATTAATTATATAGTGTTTGAAGTATTTCCAGGGATCATTGCAAGTTGAAGAATTTTACCACCTAGAGCTAAATGCTTCCTGAGAGTTAGTTATCAAACTGAACATGCTCCCAATCTACTTCTGGGGAATCTTGCTAAAATTATAGTATAATTGGGTGGACAATAAGGATAGCCTCATGCCTTTTTTCTGGAATATAATGGGAATTTTGTTAGCTTGCATTGTTCTGCTTAGAAAGAGTGTTAACCTTAGATGTATGACATAAGTTGAGGTAATGGCTTCTTGTTTTCATATTATTTCAGATAAAGTAGCACTGTATGCCTACAGAGTGGCACTCAGCCACGGATAATTGTAGCATCATCATCATCATCATCATCATCATCTATTATTTATACCCTGCCCATCTGGCTGGCTTTCCCCCGCCACTCTGGGCAGCTTCCAGCAAAATATTAAAATACAATAATTCATCAAATATTAAAAGCTTCCCTAAATAGGACTGCCTTCAGATGTCTTCTAAAAGTCAGATAGTTGTTTATTTCTTTGACATCTGGTGGGAGGGCATTCCATAGAGTGGGTGCCACTACCGAGAAGGCCCTCTGCCTGGTTCCCTGTAACTTCACTTTTCGCATTGAGGGAACCGCCAGAAGGCCCTCGGCACTGGACCTCAGTGTCCAGGCTGAACGATGGGGGTGGAGATGCTCCTTCAGGTATAGTGGGCCGAGGCCATTTAGGGCTTTAAAGGTCAGCACCAACACTTTGAATTGTGTCTGGAAACATACTGGGAGCCAATGTAGGTCTTTCAGGACTGGTGTTATGTGGTCTCGGCGGCCACTCCCAGTCACCAGTCTAGCTGCCGCATTCTGCATTAATTGTAGTTTCCAGGTCGCCTTCAGAAGTAGCCCCACGTAGAGCACATTGCAGTAGTCCAAGCAGGAGATAAGCAGAGCATGAACCACTCTGGCAAGACAGTCCATGGGCAGGTAGGGTCTCAGCCTGCATACCAGATGGAGCTGGTAGACATCTGCCCTGGACACAGAATTGACCTTCCCCTCTATGGATAGCTGTGAGTCCAAAATGACTCCCAGGCTGCACACCTGGTCCTTCAGGGGCACAGTTACCCCATTCAGGACCAGAGAGTCCTCCATACCCACCCCCTGTTCCCCCCAAACAGTACTTCTGTCTTGTCAGGATTCAATCTCAATCTGATAGCCGCCATCCATCCTCCAACTGCCTCCAGACACTCACACAGGACCTTCACTGCCTTCACTGGTTCCAATTTAAAACTGGAACACAGATGCATAATATGGCAGCTTTTCTACTGGGCCTGAAGAGCATCTGACTTAGCCAAAGGTTTAACTATGTGTTTCTAACTATAGAGGCTAAAGTGATGAATGTGATTTTTAAAAATTAAATCCGTTATTAGATCAGTCTATTGGGCTGTTCTCATCTCTCTCTCCTTCCCTCCTTCAAACATGTATTTTGCTTCCTCTTTCTCACATTTTTTCTACTGCAGTGGTTCTCAAATTTTATTCTGGGAAGTTCCCTGGAGTTTATTGTAACCTTATGAGGGGTTCCTAAATTAAAAGATTAGTAGTAGTGAACAAGCTTCTCTGAGGGACTATGGGTCAATAAACAGCTTCCCATCAAACATGACTTACTAGTAGGTGGTAGTTAGACATGTGAGGTTAGCAAGATCCTTAAGCTGGTTTATTTTAAAATGGGAAATTTTTATTAGAAAACCAAATAAACATTCAAAACATCCAGATGTCAAATAAATTCTAGCAAATAAATCCTAGCTTTGGGATTGAAGCAGCTAGTTAAAATGTGTTTTCTTTTCCTTTCCCCAAAATGTTCTACTATTGCAGTGTTTGTTACACTGTCACCATAGTCCTCATTATAAACATTTTAATGATGACCTTTCCTTTAGTGATAAATATCTGTTTTCTATGTGAACCTCTGGTCACCAATCTCTCTTCCTATTCTCCCTCAGAAGGCTCTCAAACAAATTCCTAACTGTCATTTCTAAGGGGCCTCTGTCAGCAGCACCTGCTTTCTTCCCGAGGTTCTAAAAGGGGTTTCCCTCACTCAGTGCAGGGGCACCTCTTCTCAGAAGCCTGAGAGGGATTCCAAGTTACCTCACAACGGATAATATATTATCAGTTAAATGTCAATTTTATAAACCACATACAACTTTATAATACATTCACCTAAATACCAGTTACATAACAATGCTGACCCAAAATTACAGTTTACAGTGGTGCCTCGCAAGACGAAATTAATCCGTTCCGCGAGTCTCTTAGTCTTGCGGTTTTTTCGTCTTGCGAAGCACGGCTGTTAGCGGCTTAGCGGCTATTAGCGGCTGAGCGGCTTAGCGGCTATTAACGGCTTAGCGGCTATTAACGGCTTAGCGGCTTTAAGAAAAAGGAAACAAACTCGCAAGAACTCGCAAGACGTTTCGTCTTGCGAAGCAAGCCCATAGGGAAATTCGTCTTGCGGAACGACTCAAAAAACGGAAAACTCTTTCGTCTAGCGAGTTTTTCGTCTTGCGAGGCATTCGTCTTGCGGGGCACCACTGTACAGTTCACCTTTAGTGGCTGTACATTGTGCTACATGCCAACATGCTCGGATTAACATCAGAGAGGCCCCTGCTGCATTGTTCTTTCTACAGTCTGAAGTTAGGCAGGCAGCTATGTGAAAAAAATCCTTTATTGTTATAATGGCACCGATGTTATTGAGTGTTCTCCCCAGAGAGGCCTGCCTGGCTTCTTCATTGTTTAGCCTTCCTGGTTAATGATGCATTGCTTTTAAAAAGGCCTTTGTGGAGAGATGGCTAGTTGATTATTAGTGGGCACTGATGTTTTTCCCTTGTACCTATCTATTAGGTAGATCAGTATTATTATCTCCAGAGTTACAGATGTGGGGAGGGCTTTAAACCAGAGGAAGTGGCTTGCCAAAAGCCACTACTGAATTAGTAGCTAAAGTGAACTTTGAAATGGAGAGTCTGTGGTTCACAATTCAAATCTCTTATTCACAACTCTACATGAATGCATTAATGGAAATTGAACACAAAGAATTTCAGAACATAGATTTTCAGCATCAGGTTTGTTCATAGTTGGCTGGTTAAAAAAGAAAGCAAAATGGATCCAGTGAGATTTTGGGGTGGATTCTGATTTTAATGTGTATATATAATAATGGTTTGTTTTTGGTTTGGTTGATGATAAAAACAAATAAAATGACAAATCCTATTTAGCTAAAAACATGTTTAGCTGGACCTGGATGCCATATGTTAGATATTCAGTTTAATTTACAATTGTTCTTTGAGCTTGTTTCATTATTTGAAGTTAGAATAGTTTAAAGGGTATAGATACTGTTTTTCTGTGGTGATTCCAATGTGTGTAGCTTGTGAGCATATCTAAAATGGGGAAAGTCAGAGTCCTCACACTGGTCTGACCAGTGTTTTCCTGATACAGAACAGAATTTCAAATCCATTGCAAGAAGATAGAAAGGAGAAGGGGAACAAAACAGACTGGCCCATTGATTTGTAAGGTTCAACACCATATTGACTGAGATGCTGCTTCATTGTCACTAGGCCCAGACCTGTAGTGTAACCTGGAAGAAAGCAGCACACTGGAGATTCCAGTGTAGGACCTAGTGAGTTTAGGATCACACCAAATGGTTGTCCTGTGAAAAAAGATAGTCATCTCCATCTTGGAGTCCCAGCTGCATTTCTCATAATGGTGTATTACTGCAGTTTCAATAGTACATGGAATTAACAACACTGTTTCTTGTTTTCTTTTGTCTTTTCTGCAGGAACGAGTGGAATATCTCTTTCTCATAATTTTTACAGTGGAAGCATTTTTAAAAGTAATAGCATATGGACTTCTCTTTCACCCTAACGCTTACCTCCGCAATGGCTGGAATTTACTAGATTTTATAATTGTGGTAGTAGGGTAAGTATTCATTGTTTATGTACGTGTTTCCTCTATTTAAACACAAAATGGGAATGAGATATTGTGTCTGTATGATGAAATTAAATACATCCTACCTTTTTGGGCAGGGCTGTGGTGCCTTTAACAAGTGCTGCACATACAGAAATCTGGCAGAAAAATTCAGAGGTTTCCAATTCAGAGGTTATTGAGGTGGCTTTTAGATTTTTTGATTTAGATTTATTGCGGCCATTGGCCCATATCGAAAACAATACATCAGAATTTATCCATAAACAATACAATTTAAACAGTTCCAAGTTAAAACACCCTTATAAAACCAATTTTACTTTAGTTAAGTAAACACTATACACAATAAGCTCCCTCTATGTAAACCGCAATTCCGATCCATCAGATTTTGGGGGTATACGTCTTAGTTCTGGCACTTATTGATGGTTCTTAAGTTTAGCTAAGCTGTCAGAAACATACAGTGATCCATTTCTCCTCTTTTGAAATAAAACATTAATCAGGTATCTAGCGATTGCCAGGGATCTACTTGTATCTTCGTCGTTTAATAAGTATATTATTTGGGCTTCCTGAGGACTGTCAGCAATTCTCGATAAATATGGGGCCAGAAACTTGGACCGTGAAGCCGAATGTAATGGACAACAGAAGATTATATGATATAACGATTCTATAGATCCGCTTTTACAGTCACAGAGTGTGAGATCTGTCCGTTGGAGAGTCTGTTACCCAACACGTTTGATGGGAAAGCATTGAATCTAGCCATTATAAAGGCATACCTGTGCGTCACCACAGATAAGGTAGTTAAGTAAGATGGAAGTTTCGTTGGTGGTGTTAAGCCAAGGTTTATCGGCGAACAGGTGCCACCACCTGTCGCAATATTAAATTGTAAATCCATCTCCTCTAATTTGTGAGTTATAATTCTTTTGGCCGAAGTTAAATCCAATTTTAATAGTTCAGATGGAGATAGTCCTAGGGACACAAGTTTCCCATGTATTATTTTTGCCCAGGGGCTAGGAAGTCATCTCTCCAGAGGCATTGTATCAAGTGGAGATTTGGAAGTTTATGCCATAAAGCCAACCAGTAACAGAGGATGCATTTCCATAATGTGGTTTCTAGAGATGTAACATTTAGTTCCAGTCGTATAGCAGTATTGCTTACACACCTGGGTAATTTTAACAACCTTCTTAAAAGCTGGTTTTGGATTACCTCCAAATGGGTTAGATTAGCAAAGGACCCCCATAATGGGACTGCATATGCTATTGTTGCAATCACCTTTGCCTTGAAAACTTTTAACACTGATGGAATATGGAAAGCCCCATCTGAAAAGAAAAAACGCAATAGCGCATAGGAAAGGGCTTTAGCTCTGTTTAATACATATGCTACATGGACCTTCCAGCCCATGTTGTGTTGGAGAAAGACTCCCAAGTACTGAAATTTAAAGACTTGGTCAATAGCTTTTCCGTCTATTCTTCAATTATAGGTTTTTCGACTCTTGGTGAAAATTAGGACTTTGGACTTAACATGGTTAATTGTAAGAAAATTTGATTTGCAGTAAACATCGAAAATTTTTAATGCCCTCCTAAGGCCGACTCTTGAAAAGGATAGGATCACTGCGTCGTCTGCGTAGAGTAGAAGGGGGCAACGATATTGGGCAAGACGGGGGGCGTGGATCGTTTCTTGAGCCTCTATCAGAGGCGCCCTCATATCACTTATAAATAGATTAAAAAAGGGTCGGAGCAAGGATACATCCTTGGCGAACACCTCTATTGATAGCTACTGAGTTTGAGAGGTCGCCTGCCGGAGTGATTCTCACCCTAGCGGCCGATCCGTCATGCAATTTAGTTATTAGCCACAAAAGTCTTTTGTCTATTCCCCATCGGGCTAATTTTCCCCAAGGCAATCCTCTGGGGATGCTGTCAAAAGCGGCCTTTAAATCAATAAAGGCCGCACAAAGTTGGCCTCTATTTGGGGAGGAGTATTTCCGGGCAAGGTGGTATAAAACTAAGACCTGATCAACCGCTGACTGATTCGGTCTAAAACCAGCCTGTTCAGGCCCAATCAGGTTGTTCTCTTCGGCCCACTTAGTAAGCTTAGTTAACAAGAACCGTGCATATATTTTCCCAATTAATGACAATAAACTGATATTCCTGTAATTTCCCGGGTCATCTGTCGAGCCTTTTTTTATGAATTGGAACAATAATCGCATCCTTCCATATTCTTGGTACCTTCCCACTGTTGTTTACGGCATCAAAGGTAGCGGCCAAGATTTTCGCCCACCAGTCAGCATGAAGTTTTATAGCTTCTGCCGGGGGGCTTTTCCGATTTTAAGATTAGAAATAAGTCCGTGGATTTCTTCCGGGTCAGTGGGTGGCCAAAGAGGGAGCTGCTCATAGACTCCATCGATTGTATTAATATTAAGGTCTGGTAAGGCAAAATAATTCCTTAGAAAGGATTCCCAAATTGGGGCAGGAATAACTGTTAAGGGGTATCTTTTAGATTTTCTGTTAACCAACAGCCAGAATTTTCTGGAATTACGGGTACTTGAGGCAGCTATAAGTGCTTGCCAGCGGTTCAATTGCCATTCCTGTTTGGCCTTTTTCTGCACATATTTGTAAGCTGATTTTGCCTGATAGTACTCCTTGGGAAGCGTAATCGCCCCTGAGGATTTGTAATCATTATAAATAGCACAAAGATGTTGTTTGGCTTGTTTGCAATTACGGTTAAACCACGGTGCACCTGTCTTGGGGTGGGCCCAATTTGCCTGGTGGGTTGGGACAGAAAAGAATGACGTGAGGTCATTCAACAGATTGGCAAATAGATTAATAGTTTGATCGTGATCATATGAAGTTATGCCAAGGGCTGAATAGGTTTGTATGATCTCCTGCTGAAAAATTCAGAATATTTTTGAGCCTGCGTTACAGACCACTTTATACCCTTCACTCGTAATGCCGTATTAATACCCTCTACCGGGTTTTCTGCATTAGTATCTAATTGAGTTAGATGACCGTGCTCGTCCCCGTGCCAGTCTAGGTCAAACGTAGCAGCAAGTGGAAGGTGATCACTATAGTGAATATTGAAGGTGGCTTTTAGAATCATCAAAGTTATGAACATTAAGGATAAACTTAAGTTTTGTTGGGTGAAGTTTTTGTTGGCGTTCTTTGAGGCCAGAATTCACATGACATGGAAGATGAGTGATAGGACTTCCCTAACAATGTTTTATTTGTTCAGAGGAGGTTGTGGTTTCTGATTGGGGTTGCAGCTCTGAAAAGTGGCTCAAACTTTTCTTCCAACCTTTCCCTGATTTAGAGTAAACTTTGGCTATTGCTTCTGATTTGTTTGGAAAGAAAAAAAATCACGAGTACCACTTTGGGTGACATGGCATACCAAGGCTTTTGGTTTGTTGTTTCCAGTGCAGTGAAGTGAAGACTTTTGAGCAGCATGCACCACCAGTACACTGCTCATTCACACTAAATCTTAGTTAAACAATAACTATGTTTTCAAGTGATGTGGAAACCAGCCATAGCCAAGCGATCATGTGATGAAACCACATTTTGTATTATAATTTGCACAGATTTAGCTTAAATTAGGTTAAAGTAAATTAAATAGCACCTAACTTTCAAAGCCAGTTTTCAAAATACATTATTTCTAAGAGAGAAGATAGGGTAATAATGACAGTAGTAAATCTATGTGGAGCTATTAAATGAAAGACTGATCACAATCTTGGCATAAGTGCCTCTTCTGCTATAAGTGGGTCTCTTCAGTCATACTAATGAGTAATGATGACTGCATAGCTACTATAGAACTTTTGTCCCCTTTTACTGTGTAGGCAATTCCAGATAGTAGTTCCTCCAGCTCCAGCACAGGATGAACCTCAAATAGGCATTATTTGACAATACATGGCTTGGTAGTATGGTAGCTAGGGTACATTGATGTGCCACCTGTGCTAATTTGTATTTTAGGGATATTGTCTTGGTGAGTTTCCCCACATACTCCTGCCCTTTTTCATGTTGATGCCAGCTGACTGACATCAAGATTTCCAAACAATAATTGATTCCTACAACTTTCCAGTATGCTGTGGAATCTCTAAAAGGGATTAGTTATGTGCAGTATAAACAGCATCACAGCTCTGCAGTGTTAATTAATTTGAAATAATCATGGAATCAGAAACACCCTGAAACCAATTCACTAGCTGTTTTAGGTGACAGATAATCTCACTGAGCATGCATGCTTATCACTAAAGTAGGGCATTTTAATGAGCTTCCAATGGGTTGTATCCTGTGTTGTCCTTCTGTTCATTAAAGGCTATTTGGTCAATCAACTTCTTCCATGAATGGAAGGAGAAAGAGGTGATTGTTTGCAAATTGACCCTTTCTTGTCAGCTCCCACACATGAGTTGCCAATTGCTGTATAGCTCAGTTGGTTAGAGCATGGTGCTGATAGCACCAAGGTTGCTGGTTTGATTCACCTACAGAATAGCTGCATATTCCTGCATTGCAAGGGGTTGGATTTCCAACTATTATATGCTATAACTCTATTATTCTATCTGACACACGTGGGAACCATGGCACATGGAAGGCTTTTTAGGTGTCCTTGGGCAGGCGACCCAAACACTGAACTTCTAAGTGATCTCTGTGAAATGGCAGCAGCAGCATTTGTGTGTGTGTTGGAATGAAATGCCGTCTGCTTTCCCTATCACCTATACAAACCCTGGAACTGCTCAACAGCAGGTTTTCCTTATTCTGTAATGAGGGAATTAAGGAAAGCCATTACTGATTCCAGTCTAAAATCCTCTTATGTAATAGGAATGCTAGAAGGAATAGCAACTGGTTACACAATGCTACCTCAAGACTGGAAAGACCTGATGCGCATGCTTTTATCCCCAGCTCAGTATGTGGTGTTTGAGAGTGAATTTAAACATAGCGCATCAGCCCTGTCTGATCCGCAGCATACAGCCAATCAACTTTATGGCGCGGGTCAGTATGATAATATACCAGCCCAGGCGACCCTGACACCTGTACATTTTAGTCGCACCGCGACCTGTGTACAACGCGCCTTCCGGAAAGTCCCTGTTTCAGGGCAACCGCTGAGCTCCTTTGTCAATATTAAACAACAGCATTCGGAGCCGTACCATCAGTTTAAAGATAGATTGAAAGAATCAGTCACTAGGCAGATTGATAACACTACAGCTCAAAATGAATTAATGAAAAAATTGGCCTTTGAAAACGCAAACACCGATTGCAAGAAAGCATTGCAGTCAATCTTACATCGCCCTAAATATGACCTGGCCGATATGATTCAAGCTTGTGCGGATGTCGGTAGCCAGAGCCATGCGATGTCTTTGCTTGCCGGCGCGATCCAAGCTACTAATAAACCTACAGGTAATTGCTTTAATTGTAAGCGCCCAGGCCATTTTGCTAAGCAATGCAGAGCCCCTGGCGGGGGGGGGGCAAACAAGGATGGTGCTGCCAACAAGGCTAGACCTTCCAAAAAATGCCCGAAATGTGGAAAAGGCTATCATTGGGCTAATCAATGCAGGAGTCCGGGAAACATAAATATTTTATGATCTCCACAATCAGGATGAGCAGAACATAACTGATTGTCCATGGTAAGCATAAGGGTTGTTGGAGTATATGTGTCTTTCTCATTTTGTGTTATGTCATGCTCTCCATGGCAGCCATTTTATGTTATGCCACACACATCCATAACAGCTCTTTTGTGGCTGGTGTCCCTAGTACTCTCTTAAAAGTGAAAATGTGCTCACCAGTCCAAAAAGGTTGGCAACCCCTGACCTACACTGTCCTAGAGAATTCCCTGACATTATGGTCACCAAACAGGATACTATTTGGTGCACCACCCAATAAGGGTCACAATAACTCAGTAACAGGACACCTTTGCATAGTTTCCTTAGGGCCTGGCCTGACTGAAGGCCCAACCCAATTATCACACTGCTTCTGATCTCAGCCTTTCTGGACCTCAGCTACTGACCAGTATTACCAGCTGTTGGTGCCACTCACAGCAGTAAAAACATTGTGCCATCAATGAGCCTGCCTTCAAGTTCTGTTTCAGAAAGAAGAGACTGGTTTGCTTACATTAGCAATATGAAACTGTACCGAGAAAAAGGAAGAGTAAGAAATGCAAGAAATGGATCCAGACCCAGTTATACCCTTCTGAAGGAAGACACACTTGAAGATTTGTAGTTTTGTAACAATTATCCTTGGACTGGGACAAATGCTGCTTTTTTAGTAGCTGCTTTTTTAAAAAATGGATTTAACCTCTGATAATTTATGGCCTTTTTACAATTGAACCATTAAATACTGCTTTGAGGAAAAAGTCCCTTTGCACAGATTTCTGTCATTAAGCTGTATATAAGTGTTACTAGCTAAGCGAAGGGATCAGACGTTGGTCTAATGAGACAGAAAATCTTGAACTGGTTATCATAGTCAAAACACTGCTTTACTTTTTAAGTTTGTTTTTCTTTTCTTCTTGAAAATGGATAACATTAAACTGTAGATTTAAGATCTTAAGAGGACACAATTTAGTTGTAAGAAAACAGAATGATACTGTTCGGACTTAATATTACAGTATAGACAAAACTAATACCATGTTTTTGGAAAGATGATTAGCCATGCATTTAACAACAGAGAAATACAGCAGAGACAGTTATTCACCCGCTAACTCATGGGTATTAGTAAGATAATTAATTATAGCCGATCCTCTAGAGTCCCATGTGTGTAGAGTCTGTAGGGCTTGTAGATAAAGGTCCCCAATAGTAGAGTTTAAATCTTAATAAACTTTGTAAGATAGCAAAAAGTCATTTCAGGCTGGTTCTATTTTGCGGCTGGGATTCATTCACATGTTGGTAAAATTGGGTTGTTGTAAATTTTGTTTTCTTGTTTTTTTGTTTTTACATTGTTTTTATACTTCTTTATTGTGATCTACCCAAATAACTGTATGTTATGGGGCAGGTGGCGCTGTGTCTAAACCGCTGAGCCTCTTGGGCTTGCCAATCAGAAGGTTGGCGGTTTGAATCCACATGACTAAGCTCCTGTTGCTCTGTCCCAGCTGCTGCCAACCTAGCAGTTCAAAAGCATACCAGTGCTTTAGGTACCGCTGCGGTGGGAAAGTAAACAGTATTTCCGTGTGCTCTGGCTTCCGTCACGGTGTTCCATTGCACCAGAAGCCGTTTATTCATGCTGGCCACATGATCCAGAAAACTGGGGACAAATGCCAGCTCCCTCAGCCTGAAAAGCAAGATGAGCACTGCAACCCCATAGTCAGCTTTGAGTCCTTTACCTTAACTTTATGGGATGGCATATACATGTTGATACATATATAAATAAGGGGTGTGTGTGGCATCTGTAGTTATCTCTGTAATCTAATTATATCTGATAAATGCAACCTGACTCTTTTACCCTCAGCCCCATCAATGGCCAGCCCTTTCCATTGGCCTGCCTAGCCCCAACCGCCTTTCCTCTCTCAGACTCCATCACTTTGCATAGTATGGGATGTTGAGAGACAATTATACCCTCCTATTGTTCTATTATTTGTTTAGTAATCACCTTGGTTTCGCCTCATTGATTCATCTTCACTTTTATTCCGTTTTCCCTAATGTGAAGATTATAACTGAGAGCAGAGACTTATTTAAGTTTTTTGTACCACACCTAGGAATTTCAGGCATAAAAGAATGTATTTTGGGCAGCAGCTCCACAGTTTTAGAAAGCCCTCATCAGTGAGGCTATCTCACATGTCCATTGATTTATTTTCAGCTTTGGGCAGTGACCTTGTTTATTTTCCCAGGCCTTTAAAAATAATTCTATTAATATTTCACTGTGGTTTTAGGATGTTGTTTTAGCTCTGTGAAGAGAATTTTGTGACTCTGTATTACATTTTATGCTTGTGGCTGAAATTGTGTTTCCCTCTGGTCTGTTATTGTTTTGTTTTACAGAATCTGGGGGCTGCTATTTGATTGGTTTTATTGGATTGGGGTTTTAGGGCTTTGACAACAGTGTCACTCAGCTGATGGTATGGCTTCCATCATTGAAATGAGGAGGGAAGACTTTGTCCACAATTTCCACTACCTCTGTAGCCCTAAATCTTCTCTAGGGGGTCCCCCAACCCCCTGAAGCAGATTTGAGGTGAGTGAGAGTGGGACGGGGAGAGAGAGAAGAATCACTGAAAATTGTTGCTCTCCGGTTCCACTTTACCATCAGCTGAGTGGCTCTATAGAATACAACCTTTAATTTTTTGTAATTGTTCGTTGCCTAGGTTATGGGTAGGCATAAGAGGAACTCAGTTTCACTCTCTTTGTTTCTCATTTTCCAGTCTTAAGTTCTCTACATTTCCACATATATTTAGCATTTTTTTAAAAGTCTTCATGAAAATATTTCTGCATTTAGATACGAAATTCAGACAAATAAATTTCAGACATTTTTAAAAAGCAGTTTCCTGTTATATAATGCATTTGTTTAGTCTATTTTCACTAATAAATGCATTTTTATGCACACTTTACCTCAGTGTATGCCTCAGTATATGTTATACATATTGGCTGAAGAACTGCACTGTAAAATTTGGAGATTGCAAATTTCAAAGGATGGCTGTGTTTCAGTTCACATGTTGTTTCGGAAAGTGCAAATTAGTTAGCTTTGCTTTTAAATGTAAACTGAATTGAATTTCTCCTCTATCACAAGTTATGGGATGACTGATCATTGCGGGGGGAGGGAAATAAAGGAAAAGCCACTGGAAATATACCTAGGAGATATTGTGAGTGACATCCCATATTTAGCTCATTTGTTTTCCATGTGTGGAGGAGAATGAGTTCCTTTCAAAATACAACAATGGAAGATAGATCATCTTAAGGAAAATGGAAAGCAGCATGTCTTCACAACGAGAGATGATTGAGATGTATGACTGAAAATGAGGCTTCTACTCTTTTTTCATGATATGCCTAGTGAGAGAACAGTCACCATGATTTTTACTGCAGGAAATTTTGAAGGAATGCTGTGCAAAGTGTAAGATGGGTACACTTGCATGGCTGGGAACAAGCTTTCTATAGTATTTCCATGTGATGCAGAGACTGCACAGAGCAGATGAGAAGGGATGTCTCCAACCATAATTGGACTATAGCAAAGATCTTCCATTTGACAGTCCACATTACATGTTAACATGAGCATAATAGCTAATACCACCCTGGGCTTGGCAAGCTTCCTTCTATGAATTTGTGGGCAAGATTTTGGAGAGATTTTAGTAAGCTGTAAAACACTATCAGAGAAACCTTTTGCAGTGAACTCTCCTTCACAGGCTCCCAGAGGACTGGGACGACTGCAGACACGTCACTCATCATCTGGTGAGAGGATTATGTTTAGCAGAGGAGCAGAAATATTTGAATAGGAAACAGAACACATTCCTAATGCCTGTTCACTGGACTGTAAGAAATATGCAGGGCCAAATTTGGCATCTGCTGTCTTTTTGAGCACCATCTAATTACAAAACAAAAAACCCAATTTTTTGTGCAAGATTATTCTAATAATTCATGAAGGAGATTTATAACTTTAAAGGTGCTTTAAAAGCTTTATGCCTTTTGTCCTTACAACAACCCTGTGGTGTATGCCATTATTATTTCCCTTTTAGATATTAGATAATTCTAAATACATTTACTTGGCAGCAAATCCACTGAGTTAAGTGGGACTTGTTTGCTGATAAGTATGTTTGGGATTAATCTAAGGGTGAGCAAATTACTATAAAATTCTTTAGTAAACTGAACAAGTAACTGAACCAATTCCTTAAAGGTATTTTATACATTTTACTCCCTGGTTTTGAGAGCCTGTAGTGTCTAAGCATATGTGCCTGTTATGGCTAACAGGTGGTTGCTTGAGAGCGATCAGGGAAGATGCCTCACTGGTCTTTTCAAAAACTTTATTATTGGTGCTAAAACCTTTACAAAGGCAGAGCACCTGTATTCCATGTCTTGCTCACTTGCTGGCAGAATCTGAGAGTGGGCAGTTCTTAAACCTTCCCCAGCATAATAGTTTCTTGACCCCCAGCCTACGCCTCCCCTCTCTGCGCGAAAGCCTACTGCGCAAGGAAGGCTTGGGTAAAGGGGGGCCTCCCCCCTCCCCGCTTTGCTCAGGCAAGGTGTCCTGGTACCGTCTTGCATCCTCCGAGCCCTGCATCTCCTCCCCGCTAGAGGCGTGGCTTCCTTCCTCCGCTGAGGAAGTGCTGCTTCCCACGATCTTTGTGGGCTCACTGTAATCCATCCACCTTTCCCCCTCTCGCTCCTGAGCCGATGGCAGTTCCCTGACAGTGCCCATCTACTTTCTGTGTGTATTCAAGTCTTCCCTCTCATACATTATTACCACCCAATGTATTTACATTAATTAATATGCTAGTAACACCAGAGAGTTACCAGTGTGGTGTAGTGGTTAAGAGCGGTAGACTCGTAATCTGGTAAACCTGGTTCATGTCTCCGCTCCTCTACATGCAGCTGCTGGGTGACCTTGGGCTAGTCACACTTCTTTGAAGTCTCTCAGCCCCACTTACCTCACAGAGTGTTTGTTGTGGGGGAGGAAGGGAAAGGAGAATGCTAGCCACTTTGAGACTCCTTTGGGTAGTGATAAAGCGGGGTATCAAATCCAAACTCTTCTTCTTCTGAAGGAGCCCAAGCCCAAGCAGCAGTTGTGGGTTGCTATTAACTAATTTATTATCTGATTTATGCCTAATTATATTTAAGTACCATATTTACATTTACTCAAATGTAATGCACACATTTTTTGGCCAAATTACGTCATGAAAATTAGTGTGTGCATTAGATTTGATAGTTCATTACATTCGAGTAAATACGGTATTTAATGTTTAACTTTGAACACTATTCCACTAATTGCTCTGGATTGAGAAACTTTTTGCTGATGCACATTATATTCACCAGCAAATACTTTTTTGGTTCCAAGATTTTGAAAATTGAGGTGCACATTAGATTTGATGGCACATTACATTTGAGTAAATATGGTATTTTTAGGTCGCTTTTAGGGCAAAGCACTCACAAGGATCCTTACATAAAATTCAATAGTAACACAAAAATACAGCATACATAATACTTCAGTTAAATATTCAGCTATTCCAGAGTATCTATCTATAAACTGAAATGTGAAAAAGGTGAAAAGTAAAGAGAAAATGGTTGCATTTATGTGCATTTTATAGGCAGATTCATCCCCCCCCCCCATTTTTCTCTTGTGTTCTTTGCAATATATGCAATATATTAAAAAGCTGCAGTAATTTTTCTTCCTTTTATTTTTAT